CCGTTGACCTTGAGAACTAAATTTGTCCTGGGGAGATCACAGAAGAAAGCTATTAACCAGTAGCGCTTCTGAGCGCATACTGACGTTGAGTGCTTCGAGAGTGAATTGAGTACTAATTAACGTAAACCATGCGGTGGGTCGTGATCCGAGCATTTCAGAACAGCCCGCATTTTGTCTGTTCTTCCCATTCAAGCTACATTACTTCCTTCAAACTCAATTTTTCACAAAGTGTTGCTCAAGATTTTTGTCCTTTTCTGATGGGCCTGGTCCGCAATGGTCTCATACTCGGCGGGGGCCTCCGCTCCGCCCACAACTGTCCGAGTTGTTCGGTGTGGTATCGCAGATGCTGTTACATCTATGGCAAAACTCTTCATATAAAAGGATACTCAAATTACTGAGAGAATATTCAACATAGCGAAGGACGCACGAATCTCTATGATACTAGTGACTCGGACTACTGTAACGGTAGTGGTCATGACGTGAGTTGGACTCGAACTACTGAACCCGTTCGCATTCACCAACCGACTACTAAGTGGTAGGATAAGAACGAGCCGTCGCACGTGTTTTTAAGTTGTAAATTCTCTGTCGACGTAGATTTAACTCGATTACTTTTAAGCAGAAGCCTGGTACGTGACAACTCCTTCAACCTTACTCTCTGTGATAGATAATACCTCAGAAAGTGGTTCTAAAGTAGCAATAGCGGAATGATGAATGACAGAAACGAAATGAAAAGGAAGAACGATATGTTTGGGTATCTTCGCATGTATATCATCGATCAACAGATCTACTGGGGCGTCTGTTCAGTGAAATCAGAAACCAGAACCGAAGGCATACGGCACTACCATGTCCTATCGGTCAGTCCAACGGGACCGAACGTCAACTTCACTACTGGAAAAAACAATGAGACTATCACTGCAATTATGGGAAATATTATACATGAATGAGTAGACTGCAAATTAAGAAGAAAAAAACTGTCGATGAAACTGGAAATTCCCAGTATATTAAACACCGAACAGACACCAGACTAGAAAAGGTTTTTAAAATGGTGTTTTCAACGGAGATGCTCTAAAAAGAATTTGGAAACAAATGCCAAGATAGACCAATTCATCTCAGGCCTTCGAGAAGAACTCTCAACTTCAACTTTCATAAAGTGTCTCACTTTCTGTTTATTACTTCATCGCAGGTGTCTTGAGGGTGGAGGTAGGTTGAAGTAAAGAGGCTTTTTTTTTCAGAGCAATTGATAGTTCTCCCCAACCTCGTTCCTCCCCATTGTAGTGTGACAAACAGGTACCAGACTAGTTGGGGTAACAATTGGGCACCGCATATAGTGCATATACCAAATACGCATGCCAATATTGCTACAATTTTGGATGCAAGTCTATTATGAGGGCGCATTCTAAAGTGAGGTTTATTATTGCAGTAAACTTTATATACTCACTATATGCGATTATTCTGTGATCTCTTTGCAAGCGCCTCGCCTATTTTACGGGGCTTATCAACACTTTATCTTGTATACGGTTATACCTACATCATCTACGCAGGCGTGCTACTACTTACTTAACTGTCTACTGTAAACAGCTTCGCAGAAATTGAATCAAAAACCATCCCAAAAAATGACTGATTGAACCGGAAAGTGCTGTCACTCGCCGTTGCTCCGCGCTACATAAATTAACTGGTAAACGGCAATGATTCCAAAACCCCTATTTATCTGGTAAGCCTTTAATTTATACTCTGTGCTCCCAGTTTATCAATTGTTTACTCAACTCTGCTAGATCATTTCTCACAATTATGAAGTTATTTACAACAATTACTTTCAATGGCCTCGTCAATAAGCAGGTAAAGGTGCAAATCACAGCTATTTCACGTGAACGGCATGGTCATGACCGGTTCAATCCGCCACATGTTCGAAGAACGATCAGTAGAAATGAAGGAAAAAAATGAAGGGAATTATAAACAGAAGAATGAAACTTTCAGTAAATGAAAGAAATTTCATAATGTGGCGAGTACGAAACGCTTTTTCATAAGGAAAACACTTATGGACGAAAAAACGTAAGAAAAATGCAAAATATCCAAAAGAGGTTTCTGTAAATGTAAAAAAATGAATGAAAAAGGAAATGAATGAAAATGGCGTAGTACACACGAAAACAGCATGAGGTAGAACAAGTGCTGTGTTGAAATGTAATGACAAGAGAGTAGCCAGAGTACCAACTTTTAATCTTCAAGGACACCATAAGCGATAAGCCTTGCTGCGTGTCAAGCCGCTTAGGGTAGATGGCTTATCTATAGAGATGATCTATTTTAAACTTTTCTTGCAAGTAAATATTAGTAGCGAAGCTGCCGGAACGGCATTCATAGCGGCGAAATAGTCCAAACAACAGGGACGAAAACTCTTTGAGAACTATGAGAACTTGAGATAAGTTATCATGAAGTGCAATGGCTGTAGAACTTCACGGATCACGTTTGTCACTCTACGACACGACCTTATCCGCATACAATCATTATAATACCACCACATATGCAACGCATGCAAAAACATTCGGGATGGGAGCAAAGGTGAAGGGGTGGGGCGGTCATCTGGGTGTGTTGCATTACAACCAGGCCGAGTATGCTTGGACTTTCTTTTTTGATTCTGAAATATATTTGTAAAACACCGAATAAATGCTGATTTTAGGAGGGTCCAATGTTTAGGGTTTCAGAAGAGGTTTTTGAAGGATTTTTCTTCTCTGACACACTATACCTCATCTACTCCATACGTGACTACAAAAAGCCGTTTTCAATTATATTTTCAAAGTAGAAAAGTTTTCAAGCGATCAATAAGATGAACCAAACATAAGAGCAAAACAGCACCTGTGAATTAATGAGGACGAGGAATCGTAATAGCGATATTTTCGACATTCCCAAAAATCAAGGCACTTTGATCGAATCAATCTTTCGAGGGTCGTCCATTTCTTACGTTTTCCATGGGACTTCTGATCCACGATTTGTCTTTAGCAATACCATCGGGAGCAGTTTTGAGCTACCTGCAACGCCTCAAGGAGCATTTTCTAAAGTAGAATCGTAATCTCCTTCGAAAACTGCACATAGCCTAATCTAAAAAAAATATAGGGGCAAGATAACCAACTTGAAATAATCGGTGTCAATGAATTTTTTATATTGGCAATCAGCCCTTAATCAAGATGTACTCACCTCGACTTTCATAAGTGAAACGCCGAAGAATCGGAGTTAGAGGAAGCCGATATACCGTAAAAGATCTTCGTCAACCGGCAGTCGGAAGAGGGAGGCTCGGCTGGTACAGACGAGAATGGACCCACAGTTCAAGATCACATATAACGCAGCGGTGCCACATGGAACTCTAGTACTTCTTAAGCGGCACCCTAAAGAATCTGGCGTGAACAAAGAGTTCCTACCCACATAGTTGTCATTCATTTTAGGAAATAATAGGTAAAAATGTGGTGGGGGGAGGGGAGGGAGGGCAGCGGAAATTCAGTGTGGCATGTTATTCTTCGAAAAAAAAAACCACCGTAAAGTATTATAAAATCGAGAAATTGGTCATAAATCGAGCATCTGGATCTGCACTCGGTTTGATTAAAAGTTTTTCGTTCGATGCAGGCCGTTCATACTTGTGTTACTAGTCAATATGGAAAATTTTTTGCGAAAAACGCTGCTCCTATACAGAAAAAAATTCAGTTCTGTATGCCTCGTGTCCCAACTACGCTAATTCCTATGAAGTCAGATCTCCTAAATATTTCTATAAAGGAAGAACGGTGTACAGTTTGAAAAACAAGACAACAACCAAGTCACATGAGAAAAACAAAAACTTTCGTATCTTAGGTTCGGTTTTCAAAGTGTTTGCCCTCCAAACAATTGGCAAGATTAGACTTGCAGTAATGATAAAGTTCATACCCAAAAACGGAAAACTGATGGATGGCTGGCAGTGGGAGACGTTTGAGAGCGGTAGGAAATTACCGCTGACAAATGTCACCCGGTGCCCACCATCAGTTTTCCTTCTTTGGGTATGAACGCAGCCGAGAATTCCTGTTTCTGAGGATTTAATACTTCCGATAGCACAACTCATGCTCGTCCATTGCTGAGCTTACCAAAGAAAGAAGCTGTGAACAAAAATCAATTAAACGCTTGAGACATACTACGAAGAGATCTGGCGCTCAAAATCCTATGTAAATCTTTCGCCTGGGCGTAGTGGTTATGGACAGCCAATGCCGCCTCTTCAGCGCCTAGTAATTAAGCCGTCGCAAAACGGAGCTGTAATTACCCTTTATTGTTTAGATGCAACTATGGAAATGTGTCCGCGCCGCGCGCGATGAACTTAATTTGGACAGACCGACTGTAGGGCATGGCGTACTTTGTCACTGTACCATTCTTGGCAGATGGCCATGAACGCGATGAAAGTGGGTCTTCACAGTCACACTCCATTGAAAGGAAAACGTTCGCTTACCTGATTAAGCAGACGGAAATCTCTCTCGAGAAGCATACTGTCTCTTCGATTCCTTTTCTTCAACGGTATCACTATGTAACGCAACTCCCAAAACCACTCCTATGAGTGCGATACCGGCTCTTTTCCTCAAAACGTGAGTCTCTCACACTGCAGTAATGAAATATTCGATACCAAAAGCTGCATCAACAGCAAATATATACACCTTGCCTCATTTTAAGCAATTATTCTTCTTCTAAAAATAACAATCACCAAATTGGAGATTGAGATTATAATGGACTCTGAGAAGCATAAAACTGTAAACGTGACAGGAGTATCCTATGTAAATATAAAATATAAAAGAGGTATTTATGCAGTGGGTGGAATAACATAGGAAATAACATCGAGTAAAACAAGTTGATTCGAATGAAGCAATGGGCAGTCAGACTAAGGAACCACCAAACTTCAATACTGATAAATAGGGTTGGTGATCAAACAAAACTAAAATTGATTAAAACAAAACCGGTGGTTTTTAAGATACAAGGCACATCAACAGAATTTGTTTAGATCACTACTGTTGCCTTTCACGAGCCAAGAGGCTGCTCGTCCATGCTGTAACTTCAGAAAGGCGCTGACGAGCCTCTGCCAACACCTGTAGAACAAATCATACAGCACTTTTTGCAAGTGAGAACAATTTACCAAATTAACCCTCTAGAAATATACGACTGAATGAAATTTAATCGATTTGTCAGTGGTGCGGTAGCGGTAAATTTATTCGCATACCAAATAATCCAGACCTCCAAGGGGCACAATATTCTTGTTTCTCTTTTGGTTACATATCTGGCCAGCTTCTACTGACCTCCTGCCACCTTCGCGACAACCTCATCCACACGACTTCACTGACTTCTTCATAAAAGCGGCCCATCACATCACAGATCCCGCCATTGACGCCTATTTAAGCAACGCAGCGTTGCGGCAAGTATCTACTTGACGAGTAAAGGCTTTACTTTATCGTAATGCTGCAGATGGAAGAAAATCTCAAAAGACTTGTACTGCAAGAAAGCATGTGTGGATCATATTCATATAAAAGCCTACAGTGGGAAAAAACGTGGCCGGCGGAACTAGGCCTTACCTATGTATCTACGCTTATTTGCCTTCATCCCCTGCGTAAGGCATTAGTTAATGCTCGCTTTTGTTACTGGTTAATGTTGATTGGTAATAACATTGTTTCGATAACAACTTGTTCTTCTATCCGGGAAAAATCCAGGTGACTTTTTAACGGCTTCAATCAAGTATCATTGAATAATAAACTTCTACGTAACCCGAGCTTCATAAGTGTCTAGGCCTTTGGATTGCCCACCAATTGAGTCACTTCCTGGCAGCCCGTAACATTAGGGCGCTCTTGAGAACACGTGGTATGGGTGTGTGTGTGAATTACCTACGTTTGCTTAACGACCTGCGGCGTATTAAACGGAAACACATCAAAAAGTGAACCAACCTCATCTCTAACTTGGTAAATGTCATTCGATTCGGCCAAGTTTTTATCGAGGTCTTGCAGGTAGACAATGGCTGAGTCCACTCGAGTACCATCACCAAACACCTTAAAATAACGAGAACTTTAACCCGAGAGGTGAAAGCAGCAAAACACAGAGTCGGGCATGAGGTCGCAGAAAAAAGTTCAATACCTCTGCGCTTTCTTTCAGGTGATTTAACTCCCACCTACGAATTTCAAGAAGGCATCCACAAATACGTAATTCCCTAGCGAAATTGTCGCGTGAGGAGCGGAAATAAGCTGTTTCTGAACGTAAAACGATCAGCTCCACTCACCTGCTTATCCTTGAGTGCCTGTAAATTATCCCTCAATTGAGCTGAAGTGGTGCGGATGCTTTTCATCAGCAGTTCTTCAGGTTTCGTGCTGTACTGTTTGGCTTCGTTCTCTATCCGTGTTTTCAGTTCTGAGACGGATGTCGACAGCTCCCCGACTTTTTCCAAAGCCCATTCTTTTTTTGCACGAATGAGATCAGCCTGTGGATGACAAAACTGACAAACCGAAAAACACAGTTAGAGCACAGTTACGAAAAACTTACAAGTAGGAAGTTTTTGCTCAAGGTATCTAGAAGATTGCGAAGTTGAATAGTAACCGGGTCGATCACTTGTGTATGTGCCTGTAATCATTACATTGTAACGCTTCAGATCTTCGGGGTGTTGTTAAGGCTGTTTTTTTCTTCAAACAATGAGGATTTTTTTTAAACAATGAGGAAGCTATAAAGTAACTGACTGGTCATAGTCACTTCGCTCTGCCATACTCGAACAACAACTGGCGTACCCACCTTATTATTGAGTGCCTCAACAATTTTTCGAGACAATACGGTGACACGCTCCTTTACTGAGCCTTCCGGATGTTCTTCAACAGGAATACCAAGTGATCGTTCCACCAACACACCGATTACATCCAGAAAAGCGTTCGTACTCTCAGCAATCTTATCTAGAGGAATCTGAAACTGGTTTTTCATCAATCACCGAACGCAATTGATTGAACTCACAATTTCATATCGATTTCATTCATGGATGTAATGCCCGTTTAAGAAGACTCAAATGGACTACTGCTGTCTACTGTTCTGTTCTCGCAAAGAATGAAACTTTGGTTCAAACCCAGATTTTTCCTTAAATATCACTTGTTACTACTACTGCACAACTAATACGTACTATATGACAACTTTTACGACTAGTGGTCGTTTAAAATATAGAGAAAATCAAAAAATCAAAATTCAATCGTATGGGATTCACAGGGATTTTGTACACGTTCTTTGCTATTCTTCGCTACGGCTGTCGGCATCATAATCAGCTGTCTTGAAATCTAGTCATCACACAAATAGGATTGATGACCAACCTGAGCCACACGCTGGCCTTCGGCGACCGCATTCCAGATCTTTTCCTCCACCACTTTCTCGGCATCGCGTACCGATGTAAGCAACTGCTGACCTGCGTTCTTTGCACCTCCAAGCGTGTCAAGGATCAGTAATGCACCACCGGTGGACAAAGCCAATCCCAACTGAAATAAAAAAACGCATCTACTCGCTAGCACATCTCGAGCTTTCATGAAATAGGAACCCTCGCTTAAATAGGTATTGCGGCTACTGCAATAGTCTACATTTATGTAGGTAGTCGTGCCGTACTTTTTCCAATTCTGAGACATATAACTCAGTAAATCTACTATCAACCTTTCAATGTGTACAAATAAGTCCATTCCGTGAAGGGCCCACGACCTTCTTCACAGTCGTTGTAGAAATTTTACCGACCCATGGCCCGCAATTCTACAGAGCTCTGAATTGAATAATTCAAAGTCCCGGTTTTTTCTTTTATTTCTAACTTGTCATCTCCGAAATTGAGTTCGAGCCTTCCTTCTCGATTTGGTTAAGCTACACCCACAACCGAAGATGACCTGAGGAAAGCAAAGTATTACCTACTTTTAGGCTGCGATTGGCAAGAATGACTATTCTGCCCGCATATCGCACTCACGGCAAAAGCGCGAAGTCCAGAACTCGGTTCGTCAACATGAGTGTAAAAAAGAACACTTCGCTCACCTGTGTCGCTACGACAGCTGCTCCCAGACCAAAAGTACCACCTTGGATTGCGACATTCTTCGACGTCTCTACAGCTGACATAGTTTTTTCGACTCCTATAAAAGTACGCTTGAACATGGTAGGATTGAAGCCTTCCATTTTAATGGGACTTCATTATATGTCTTGTATGCATAAGTAACCAGAGCTATAAGGCTGATTTTGTTTGTCGACCAAAGCGCAGTCGTGTTCAAGATTTTGGATTTGCGTATTGCCAGGTTACAGTGCAAGGTTTTCATGTCGACTATTACGGTGAAATACCCGTGATACTTATTTCCCAAAGAATCGCTCGCCCCTATTGCAAGTCAAATTCGTTCTCTGATTCAAAGATGTTCGACCCACACCTACGTCACCCTACTGTCGTCGACTGCACCACAGTGTGTTGGAGGGGGCAAGGCGCAGACAGACAAGAATATTGAAATCACGGTGTAAAAGTACAAAAACAACCTAAAAACATGAACGACAACCTGCGCTGTCGATAAGATCTGCACATATTCTTCGCTGCCAACAATATTCCCAAAAAATATTCCGTAAACAAATCTCATTTCTGTCAGTTTTTCGGAGGCTTCACTTTTGTCAGCGTGTCTAACACTGATGAAACTAGCGGTCGAAAACCGTGCCGCAAACTACATGACAGATTTTACGGAATCAACAACCCTTGACTAGCAAACGAATACAATTCTTACCAGCATTATACGCCGAAGTTACAGCTTCCTTTGGACGTACGTAGTAGTTCTGATGAGCGTCGCATGCCTTCTGAGTAGCAGTTTGTGCAGCTACAGCTACACCAGCCTCTACACGATCCAAGGTCGATTCCAGAAGTTTTGAACTGTGCTTTGTCCAGTCGTAAGTAGCGATTGCCTGACAACACAAAAACATAAATTTCAAATTCATTTAGTTAAATTTATTGGCTTAAGTGCAGAGTTGTTCCAAGAAAGTGCAGCGGTTGTCAACAAGCCTAAAATAAGGGGGCTGTGTAAGTGCATTCGCCTGAAGTCTCTTCTGCTCCACAAACGCGACGCAACCGTGCGGATATGTTTGCTTGGCTCATTACTTTTTGTATAATTGTTCCACATAAAGTACACTGATCAAGAAAAATTCGTCTTGCCTGCGCGTCTACGGTTTGGAAGAACCGCTTACAGCATTACTCAATAGTTCTAACCGTTTTGTGCTGAAAGACGTTGTGCAGGTTGCTATTAATTTACCGCATCTCACTCATTTACGACCCTCTCACCTGCGAGTATAGTTGAAAAGTGCACATGCATACCATCTTCATATGTTCATAACTATGCAAAATTTGAAAAACCATCTTCTCTTCAAGTAGCCCAATCAAGTTTTACTTACTACTTCTGGAATTGCTGCGTCGTCGCCGCACGCTCAACTAGCAGGTGCTCCGGATGCGACTCAAATTAAACTATCATGCAACAGGGATTCTGGAGAGTCTGGTGCTAGAAGGCTTTCCATGCTCCGCCTTTCAGGAAACTCGAGCTCCTGCCGAGCAGTTCTCTTTAAAAGAGCTTCATTCAGGACAAGATCTCACCCAAGGGATTTTTTAAACCACGGACAGACTGATTCCAAGTAACCCTGGTACAGCAATGAATTATGTGAGGATCAAAAAACAGAAGAAGTTTGGATGATAGCATACCTGCTGAACCCAAGGATTTTCTAGGAGATATTTGTAATACTCGGAATAATCAATTGCAGGCTTCTGAGAGTTGTCCTGCGGTAAGTTCTGGCCATTCTCCATGGTGGGTGGAAGTTGAGTAGACTTCTGAAATAAGAAGTCTCGGGAAGAAATAACTGATAGAGTTAATCAAATAGAACAGCTTAAACGATAGATAAGCGCCGGCACCCGAACTTCGTTGAGATAACAATGACATGCGAATGGGGAAAAAGGCAAATGACAATGATGTAATGTCGGAAGAGAAAAAGATGTTTTAAAGTTTCCTAAAAGGGGAACAAGTTAAGCAAAGCAAATGAAACCAATCAATGTTGAAAGACTTAAGAAATTAGGCCCCACATTGACCGGTTGGGTGGAGGAACATTCGCGAACACCCACCCAGATCAATATCGAACAGATAGCAGCCGAAAACACGCCACCCACTTTTGCGAAGAATCTTGATTGGGAAGAAGAGACTGCTCTTTAGAGAACATAGACATGTATGTCCATAATTCGGAATGAATTACTTGCGGTAGAAGTGCATAGCCGCCCTGAGTGCGGTTTCACAGGACAACGGCAGACCTTTATACGATCGAACCGATGGGGTCAAAGTACAAGTTCATTTCGCAACTTGCCCATAGCGACTTTATCAGCATCTGTTTGCCTCATTGTTGTCAAGCAATGAACGAACAGTTGCTGAAAAAATGAGGATACTTGCCAAACTGGTTGTCATCCACGGACCACGCCTTTACTTCTCAACAATTATTCTAAAACTCGTCCATACACATGTGAAATGAAGAAAACGATCAGTAGCGGTTGATGCCGTTCAGATGCGCCACGTACTCGACGTACATGCAGGAATGCAGATGCACTTCAATTCGAATTTGATCTAAACTACAACATAAACAAGCCCAAGTGACTACTATTGTAATGGCCTTCTCAGTTCCAACATAAGACCATCCGGCTAGTCCAGGACGGAGGAACAACAGGCTAGTCCAGGACGGAGGAAAGTTACGTTCTCCTGCCCTGCCCTAACTGATTGAACTTCAAAGGGATAGGGTTTGGCAAGCTCTGGAAGATGGAAGACAAGAAAACACCAGAGAGCTGAAACAGAAAAGACCTGAATAAGTGATTTGAGTGGTTCGAAATGAAGAGAACGATTCGACTATAGGCTGAATGAGTATGCGGGAACGAGGCCGTACAAGGGTGATTATAAAGAAGATATCTTATCAGAAGAAAAAATGTGTGCTCTGATAAGTGCTGAACGCTAAAGATGCAAACAAATGCTTACTGGTAGGTAATACGTACACAATCAGAACGACACTACTACTATGGAACAGCATTCCAGTGTGTATACGTTCGTTCTGTATAAATCGTATTTGCAGTGATACTACGGTATTTTGATCCTTTCCAAAATCCCCTGGTGAGCCATTAAAAAGGAATTCTCGACTGATTCTAGTTTTCCTGAATGCAATCACAAAATAGACCCTATCAGAAGGTTTTCAGTATTTTATTTTCTGACAATCTTCTGCGACTGTAAAGTAAGCCCTCCACAAAGAGAATTACTTGAAAGTACAGAGATGAACAGTAGATAGTGGAGGATTACTGTCTACTGTTCACTTCCTCTTTCATATACCCTCATCTACCATTACCACTATGCAACCTTGCTAACAATAAGGATAAACCAAGAGCCGGCCCTATCAAGCACTGGAAAGGGGTTAACACACATGACCGATATACCAGCCAACCTAGTTTTCATCTCTCTTAGGTTAGTTAATTGGTGCCAGTACGTCTGAGAGGATAAATGCAATGACTTGCACATGGACTGCCCCTACCAGGGATCGTATAAGTCAAATAGGAAATTCAGAAATTGAACAATCACGAAAAGAAGTCGATTGCTCAATGCTAAAAAACTTACTTCTTTATCACTATTCTCTTTACTTTTCCTCTTCAATTTTCTGCCATGAAATACTCCATTGCTTCCTTGACCGTAACTCGCCTACAGTCGACTCCTACTTCCCAGTAAATTCTACTTGAGTTCAAGTGTCAGAGTGTCCGGGCAAACGACCATAACTTTTTTTTCTAGGAATGGGAGAATTTAAACAACAAAAATAGTTTAGAGCCGATCAGCTGCTAATCATTAGGCTACATTGTACCCGGTCTCACTTTTTGTAAGGCAAATCACGATGCCGCAACTGACACATCACGGGAGTTTCGAATGACATGCTGACTCGCAACTTCCTCGTCTTCTCAGATCATGGAACTTTTACTGGTGGGAACAAGGACGATGATAAATTGACGGAAAAATATTGGAAAGTTTCCTATATCATTGGCTTCCACTCAGAGCTTCAGGCGCCAATGGAAGCCTCTAGGAATAGGCAGGTTATAATATAAGGTCTTCCACCTTCAACAAGGCCTATAACAATGATTTCTTTCAGTTCAAGTTGAGGGCTAGTGCGTGCAATTGGTTCTGAACCGTCCGGTCCGTTGACAAATTACCATAAAAATTTATACTAATTATATCTATTCATAATTGTAATAATTTGACTACTACAGCACGTTATATTATATTGCATAAGGTATTACTTCGACTACAATTATCAACTTCATTGAGAAGCAAATGTAAAGAATTGAGCTCGCCTTAACTGATTTAGAATGGGACTTTATTCCCAAAGACGATCCCCATACCTCTGGAACATCGGGAAAAGGCGTAGGAACCAACTGTAAAAGGGGCGTTGAGTGGAAGAAGGTATCAGATAGTTCCAACGTAGAGAAACCTTGAAATCAATTGAACGTTCTCAACAGTACCACTAATCGTCAGCCGATTTTGCAAGTACGCCTACTTGACGCGAGCTAATCTCAGTTAAGGACGACAAAAAAATGGTCCAACCCTTTTAAACCAGTGAAACCTCAAAGCTTCTCACCATTGTCTGTGAACTACCTTTTATTTGTTAGAACGTTAAGAGTCGTAAAGAAACTACCACGGACAAACATTAAATTGGGAACTCATCAAAACCCAGCTAGGCATTCCCTGACTAAATCATTGATGTGTATGCAAACAATAGAAACAGGGAATGAGAAAAATCGAGAAAAAAATCAACAAGTAGAAATTTCACGGATACGATTTCAACGGTTTATTAAACTTTGAAGAATTTATAGTTGAGGGCACAGCATCACTTCCAAGAAATTTCTCGAACTATGTCGCAAAAAATTCCTTATTGTACTACGTCGTAAAAAAAGTCCTTATTGGCCCACCGTCCGCTGTACATTTCCCTTCGCGGGTGTTTCAAAGAAATCTATTAGGAGATTATACTGATAGCAAAATTAGTTGCGCTGATAAACGTTTAGAATCAGAAGTAATGAACGACACAATGATTATGGCAAAAGACCGACAAAATAACCACAACTCTGACGTTTGCGCTAAAAACGCTTAAAAAACCCGAAGCCACGCAAAAAAAACAAACCTCTGAGGTCCCAAAAGCATTGGAAAAAAGGATTCAGCCATACCTCGCAAATGTTAGTAGGACCTCCTGGGTATAAAAACGCGGAAAACTTTTAAGCGTAAACAAACTGCGCTCTTTGCAAAAGCTGCACGTCGTTCATAGCGTGGAATGTGCACTCACGGTTAACGCGCCTGAATTAGCTTCGAGAAAAAATTTATTTCCAGCCAGCTGATTTTGGAGACTGCTCGCTGCATTGGTTCCGTCTCAAAGCCAATTCTATTTACACGACCTATTACTTATCGGTAATCAGACAATAATCACTAATTGGTTCCTATTTGTCAAATATCTGCAGCATATGGGAAAGACCCACGCATGTTCGCTTGGTCTACCATTCATTTGAAGAAATCCGTGGTCGAAGTTTGCAGAAAAGCTGGAGGCCTGAGCAAGGTGAGAGTTGTGACAGATATCTTTACCCTTAGGTGATATTTGCCTATTCCGTTGTTCCCAACCGGCTTTCCCAGTTATTTCTACCTTTTCATTGTCATATTTACGTTTTCCCACTTGGAGCCACTGAATACCACCTCGGCAATTACTTGCTTCGTGCTATAGAATGCCTAATTGTCCCTTATTCAATGATGGTTTCCGTTTGCAAAAGATTGGGCCGATTTCCCAAATAACTCATACGAATTATATTCACTAGTACGAATTTTGCAACCTAAAACTTAGCCATTACTACAGGCCTCAGAGAGCTATGTTTTTTGTACAACGAAGTGTCAGCTGTTGCATTCAAATGCAGTTGCAAACGATCAAGTTTAAGGATAAAATTTCCGAGAATAACCGTGTAGGTGCATTCATAGTACTTGTGTCTTGACGCAGATATGGGCGTCAGGAAGCAGCTACTATGAACACGTCTTGTCGTATTTAATTGTATTATTGTTAGTTCAGTAATGTATGGAAAATCCCATGATGAAATGTTTAGATGAGTAAACCAAGTGGAGCCGTTTCTGTTGACAAAAATGGGCACATTATGTTGCGAATATTAGCAAAGCCTGGAGCGAAATTGAGTACTGTTACAGGTAAGCACACTGTCTTTCTCTTCAGAAAGCTTAGTTTAGAAATATGTCATTTCACTGGAGTGCTTTCCCTCATAATACTATGAGACATGTCTTTTGAAATGAAAGATTGCTTAGAAGTTGAGCCCATTTCGATACCATCGAGCGTTGAACAACAGGACTGGAAGCCATAACCGTGATACTACAATGACTAGTCCTCTACCAGGTCATATCGTTATGACGTTTCACCGTTTATGGCGTAGGATTCCCTAGGTTAAAAGTCACAACGTTCACGGTGTTAAGTAAGAAATCCTACGCTATAAGAAGCTCAATTGAAAATTATTGGCTGAAACGGACGCCCAGCTCAAGGAGATCTACTTCAGGGGAAAAAGACCATTTTAACGCAGCTAGGCTCACAATGAATTGCAAAGTTGCCGCTGGTTCTATTGACCAAAGTTGCTTTTGTATTTATTCCCACTCGAGCGTTCCTTTCAATGGATGTTATAGCATCCGTAGGAAGATACAAGGAAGTTCATAATGAACATCGAGTTATGCGAGAACTAGTGAGATTCGAAAAGGTGAAAGATTGTCGAGAGCATGTCTCACTGTCTCACAAACACAGTTCTGGAAGAAAAAACAGTGACTCCCTGTCCTCTCTGTTGCCATTGCTACCGAACAATTCTACCGTATCAATCTCTATTCGATTTCGATTAGGGTTGTAATCTTCCGTCCTTTGCACTCCCGCCAACATGGAAGAACTTTTTTCCAGATGTTGGCGATGATGAAGTGGGTGTGGCGATCGCAGCCCCTCCTCGAGAAGGCGAAGCCAATGAAGAACTCATCAGTTACATGAGAGGTGTTTTAGGACTGAAGAAGAGTGAGCTCGTCCTAGATAAGGTGAGCAGTAACCACAATCACTGACACATCAAATAACAGCTACGACCTATCTAATGTGCTCTAACTGTTTAGGGCGGGAAATCTCGCTCGAAGACATTACTCATCACTTCATCTCGAATTTCCTCGGATGAGGTCGTCGCTAAATTGAAGGCTGCTGCTGAGAACTGATTGATTCGTTCGTTTTACTTCGCTCTTACTTGTCAATCATGTTACTTCTAAACCTGCTTTTTTGTTCTTTTTGATTTTCTGTGTCATTTCGAAGATGCTTCCGCACCAGGAAGATGTTACAGCATTACCCGGTGGCGTGAACTGCCGCAGTGCCCTTATTGATTTCTCTTTTATTTTCATGTAATTCTTTGGCGTTTAGCAAGTAGCCTGTTCAATTTAATTCCTTTTTGTGTTGATGGCCAATAGCATGGTTTTTTTGCTCAGTCTTCGTCTTTTACCCAAAACCACATTAAAATGTGATTTCTAATAGTATGATGAGATATCAAAAGCTGATTAGGAAATTGGAAAAAACTGAAGTCATACATTCATACAGTTACCCGAAATGCTCGTAGGTTATTCACATTGGATCACCTAGGAGCGACTTGACTAAAGGGAGACTTCTGATATGGGCCATACCTAACGCCTTTAGCGAAGGGATTGCGCTTGTGCTAGATTGAGTCATTTTGTTTATTCACGTTTTTGTTCTACTTGTTTGTTGTTGTCCTTGTTTGTTTAATCGATAACTATCATTAAAGAGTGAACTTGAAATGAAAACTGGCGTCTTGAGCATTATTCCCAAATATTAGTTTATAGTGGGAACTTATTCAGCCGATCCTGCTATGATTTCTTAACTGCCATAGCTTCCAGCCATCTGCTAAGCTATTGCTAATTCATTATTGTCATTTTTGTTGCAAAATCGATGACCATAGATAAAAGCGGTCCCTTAAAATCGCTATTTTTCTATATTAATTGTTCATTAAGTGGGCGGGGTTTAGAGTCGAGGGGCGGAGCTTCCTCTAAACTTCTCCGATTTTTATTTATCCATCCATCAAGTTAGAGGGGTGACTGCATTCAATTTCAATTTTTTCCAATTCATTTTTCACCGGTAAATCAAACCGCTCTTATCTATGGAAGTTTAGGGTAGTAATTCTTGGTCTAAAGTCACGCCCGGTGGATCCAGCCTACCAAACTATCCTACATGCCTTCGTGTTCTTTTCAAGACGAGACTGGGTTTTCTCTTCTTTCCGTGGTGATAGATCTATCTACCGGTACTACTCTCATTAGTAGCGTGCCAACGTACCGATAAACCTCATATCCTCCCTCTCCTTCTTTTTATTGTATTAGGTTGAATAATAAGTCCTCGGACAATGGGATAGTGATGACCTCTAGAGATCGTAACTCGGGGAGTATAAAAAGCTCTTCCAAGTACATACTGAAGAATACACTGACCCATTCCTGCGCTTGAACGCGAGGAGAGAAAGTGCCATGTCGGCGCGACGGTCCATGTCATACAGCTTCAAANCCCCCCCCCCCCCCCCCCGCGCGCTTTTGCACCTTGCCGATTGACTTCAATCCTCGAATAACTGTGGACTGGCTCCCCAGGAGTGACTGCCAGTTCACGAGTAGTTCACGAGTAGTTTGATACGGATCGGCTTCCACCTGGCTCTGCAGCACGTCCAAATTCAGCTCAATACATCGTCCCGGACGGTCTTCTTCTTCGATGGAACAGTCGTTCGATATGAACTTCGAGTGTCACTTGTAAATTGTGCATCTAGCAGGAGCACCCTTCTTGTAAACTTCCTTGATACGTCTATCGATCTCCGCGGGTTCTTTGCCAGATAAAAAAAGAAATAGGATAGTGTTGCAGAGGTGAAGTTGCGACGGCTTGAAATCATGGGGCATGGTTGCAGGAAAGGAAATAGTTAGGTGTGTCCGTTAGCAGGTATTTTGAAGAGCTTTCCGTACTCCATCTAACAATGCCACGCGCGTCCATTTTCGTCTCCTCTTTCCCGAGTTATGATCACTAGAAGACATCACTATCTTTTTGTCCGAGGACTTATGACTCAACCTAATACTTGACAGCAAGCAGTAGGGACAGAATGTGATTGGTGGGAAAGGAGAGTGAGTAGCGTAAATTGTACTCTTCATTTTTGTTATTGAAGTTCTAAAATACTCTGAGTACTCGTCTCTCTCTCGTTGAAATGCGAATTAAGGCCTATGACGTGCCCTTGTTGATATTTCTATGGGCCCTGTTATATCGTCATTGCCCTTTGTTCACAGAGAAAAACTAATGCGAAGATAGACATAATCAAAATGGTAAGCCTATTTAAAGACTTATTCTGTGATAACTGGTTCCTACAGAAGAGGTAGATAGGAAGGTGGTCAGGTGAGTCTGAAAAGGTGATCGTGGGGAAGCGCTGCATAGAAGCGCTGACGGTCTTCAGCATGATAACAACGTTTTCTACTGTAAAGGTGCTTCTTAGACGACATAGGGACACGACATTGAAGGCCTTCGGTCAATCGCAATTAGATAAGGTACAATTTGATGTATTCAGGAAGAAAAAAAAAGTCTAGCAGGGAGTACGGTAGGGGAGAAGGGCAGTAGTATCGCTTTCGTGCAATCGATTCGCCGTGCATGCCAGTCGCGGACCATTCGTCTCGTTATTACAGCTCTACAGTTCTTCATACAGCTCAGTCG